ACAAATCCGGGTCCTGGGGTGCTGGTTTATACCCCTTGGCTCCTCTACCTGCGTTGGACTCGATCTGGTGCTACCTTTGGGAAATGGGAATTAGAGAACACAGGTTGTATCCGAGCGCTTCTCGTTTCCTCTTATAAAAGGTCATAAAAAAAAAAAAAAAAAAAAAAGAGCAGGGTTGTTGTTTTTCTAAATGTGCGCGTAAATTTCCTCCCGGAGCCGCGTTGAAAGCTGGCAGTTGGCTTTTACACTTGCCCGGCAGCCGAATTAGAGCAACCGCCTGTTTCTTTCGCCCACGCAGGGAGTCATATAGCCCAGAAAAAACTTCCCGGGACTTTTAGCCTGTCCCAAGGAAAAAAAAAAAAAAAATTGGAAACATACCCACATGCAAACAGCTGGAAGAGCTAAAATCAGAAACCACTAACCACCGCGGGAGCGAAGTGCACGTATGGGTTTAGTTCGATTTATTTCAAGCCGCTTGGTTTACTAGCCGCCTGGTATAGTGTGTGTTTGCCGTGCAGCTCCTACTCCGGCTCTAGGAGGCTGCGAGTGTCGCCGTGCTGCGAAAGGGCAGTGGCGTTTGTCAGAGATGTGACTCACATGACTAGAGCGTTAATTTTATTTTTAAATAGTGTCTGTCCGGGAAATCCAACCTGGATCCACATTATCATACAAGGTCTGATGTGAAACGCTTTGAAATTAAATAGTAGCAAAAAGGACTATTATTCATCGCTTAAGTTGCCACGATTAATAGTTCTATGAACCATCTAGTTGGCGTGTTTTTTTTTTCTCCCCAGAAATGTCCTTTTCAGTGTTAAAAATTAAAAATAAGTATACATTTTCGTAGGGGAGAAGACACCTGTGTAAAGATTGAGGGGACTAGTTGGATTATGTCCAAAAAAAATTCACCATTTGAAAACTAGAATATAAGGGATGACTGGGCTTTTTACAGGGTAAGGGGGAATGTAACATGGGCCCACTGAGGAGGACATGATAAATGTTTTGCTGATGACTGTGCTGGTGATACAGCAGCCTCTCCCACCCACGGCCCCTTCTCACCACTCTACCAAGGGAGTGATTTTCCCCTAGGTAATTAAAGATCTGTTTTAGATAGTGATATGAATAGAAACATTTCATTATCATATTAACCAGTTACAGAATCTGCTGATTAAAATCAACATTTAGATCAAATGTTGAATGTGAAGTTGTTCTTATAGATGTTTTACTCAAAACGTTGTATTTAAGTTTCCCTTGAAGTATAAACAACAACCAAAAAATGTCCTGAAATAGCCAAGGAATGTTTTATGTTAGATATTTTGATAAAAACTATTCAAGAAAAAGAAAACCTTCCACAATATTTTTAAGGTTTACTTTAAAACAAACAAAACCACACATTACTTTCAACTACATGACATAGAATTCAGTGTACTTTGCAATATTACAATGCTTGTTTCAATTGTACTGAATTGTGTATTGGGACGGGAATTTTGCTTGTTTTTGATAATATACTTTATTGGATCCGAAAGGACTGTTTTCCATTTGCTTCCTGATTTTTTTGATTAGTCTCTCACTTTCTAATCTGGGTTTGGTTGTTGGAAAGGTTTTACCAAATACATGTTACACAGAATTTTGTAAGGTTTGGTGACGCAATTATTGTTGAAAATATATATATTTTCAAGCAACACTTAGGAGTTTGCCCTGGAAATTTTTAGAGCTTGTTGGGAATTTATAGTAAACACTGTTTGTCTTCTTGAGATGATGAATTGGGTGGATTATGCATGTTTGTATTTCTTTTTTTTTTTTTCCAGACAAGATGTGAAATGGAGAAGTATCTGACACCTCAGCTTCCTCCAGTTTCTATAATTCCAGAGCATAAAAAGTATAGACGAGACAGTGCCTCAGTCGTAGACCAGTTCTTCACTGACAGTGAAGGGTTACCTTACAGTATCAACATGAACGTCTTCCTCCCTGACATCACTCACCTGAGAACTGGCCTCTACAAATCCCAGAGACCGTGCGTAACACACATCAAGACAGAACCTGTTACCATTTTCAGCCACCAGAGTGAAACGACTGCCCCTCCTCCGGCCCCGACCCAGGCCCTCCCTGAGTTCACCAGTATATTCAGCTCACACCAGACCGCAGCTCCAGAGGTGAACAATATTTTCATCAAACAAGAACTTCCTACACCAGATCTTCATCTTTCTGTCCCTCCCCAGCAGGGCCACCTGTACCAGCTACTGAATACACCGGATCTAGATATGCCCAGTTCTACAAACCAGACAGCAGTAATGGACACTCTTAATGTTTCTATGTCGGCTGCCATGGCAGGCCTTAACACACACACTTCTGCTGTTCCGCAGACTGCAATGAAACAATTCCAGGGCATGCCCCCTTGCACATACACAATGCCAAGTCAGTTTCTTCCACAACAGGCCACTTACTTTCCCCCGTCACCACCAAGCTCAGAGCCTGGGAGTCCAGATAGACAAGCAGAGATGCTCCAGAATTTAACCCCACCTCCATCCTATGCTGCTACAATTGCTTCTAAACTGGCAATTCACAATCCAAATATACCTGCTACCCTGCCAGTTAATTCACAAAATATCCAACCTGTCAGATACAATAGAAGGAGTAACCCCGATTTGGAGAAACGACGCATCCACTACTGCGATTATCCTGGTAAGTGATGCTACTGGTTGAAACAGCAATACATGTATTTAGCGTTGTTTGGCATATATTTACCTTTTCAGCCTCAGGTTTTAGATGTACTTATGACAAAATTAGTTTCTGGCAATAAAGATTGCCTATTTTTTAAATTCTATTCCTATCCCAGATTCTGTGCTTTCATGTGGTATTTAACCATGTGGATTGCTTATTTTATATGTAAAGTTTTTTAAATGGCCAGAATCTGGAAAAAAGCTTCTTTGTACTTTTTCTCCTTAGTATCAAATGAAAATTAAATTTTGAGTTTAGCCAAATAAACTTAAATCGGAGCTTTTAGTTCTAAATTAAGCACCCTGAGGAGAGATTAAATATAGGATAGGGGAAAATAAGGTGTGGCCATGAAGTTGGAATTGATATCCTGATGGTAGGCAGGAGACTGCTCATTCTTAATGAGAGACATGGCCCAAAATAAAAATTGACTATGGTTATGGATATATCTATGAGCTGCTGGCATAAGCTAGTTTAAGATTACTACACTACAGGGTATGCTTTATTAACTTATGGTATATGATATGGCATCAGATACTAACTGTAGAAAAAGAAATGTAGAACAGAAAGTTGCAATCATCTTGGATAATAGTTTAACACTCAGTTTTAGAGACATTAGAATTTTTTCAGGCTCTGAATTCTGTTTAGTATAAACCGCTCACTAGAATATAAACACGAATTTCCCATTTGTAGCTTGGCTTGATTATCTGTACTGTTTCCTTCTAAAGTGACGTATAAAGCAAATCTCTTTATACCTTTAGTAAGGTAATAAGGGGACTGTCTTTACAACTTTTTAAAGTGAAGCTTCAAGTATCTCACCTAGCATGAGAGATTTCTTCTTTAAAGCCAGATTTTAAACACTGAATCATCAAATGTAAAGATTTCAAAAGGATCTCAAAATGACAAGCTGTTCTTCCTTCCCTGCTTTATTTTAGGCTGCACAAAAGTTTATACAAAGTCTTCTCATTTAAAAGCTCACCTGAGGACTCATACTGGTATGTAATTTTCTTGTTAATTCTGTGAGTTGTGTAAATAGTGTAAGTGGTATTCATCCTTTTAAAAGCCAACACGTGTTTGATCTCTTCTTTCTTCTGTCAACTTTTATTTTTTAATGGCCTACCTTTTCAGCACTGGCTTGGCTCAAAATTCAGTTCAGTAAAAAAGTCTGGTTCCAGGAAGGCTGATTTTCCTTCACTAAGTCCTCCTGTCATTTTACATAGAATTAATTACCCAAAGATGTAAACAACAGTGTTTACCAGTGGATTTTAAAATAAAATGGCACTGTTTCTAGCTTGAAGGGAAAAAACACTTTTCTCTGGTACTAGATCAGTGCGCTTCCATAAAGCCATATTAAGGACTAACAACTCTTTACCATTTGTCATCTAAAGCTTCTAATCTTTTGTTTTACCTTCAGCCTAAGATATTTGTGTTTAGCATGATTTCTGTATTTGAAAAGTAGGGCTAAAGTTGAAGAATATTGAATTAGACAAAATGGGGTTATGATTTATAAGTTATTTTGGACACCTCCCTGGCTCACATTTTATGCATTTAAGAGACTTTGTCTTTACTCTAGCTTACGTTTCATCTTTGTTTAAAATATGCTGTAAAGCTGAGCCCCTTTAATTTTATAAATATTTATTTTGCCGGATCTACACAGCACTTTTAAGGGCTTTTTAATCTTAAATCCTTGTATCGGAGCTCATTTTAGGATCAAGCTAGGTGGCATGCTTTAAATATGTACACATAACAAAAAATTTATACTATTTTGGGTACAATTTGTGATTTTCTTTAAAGAACAGCCATTAAGGAAAGAACTTACATGAAGCGATTGTAGGTTTTTTTCCCTTTCCTTCACAGTTAAGTGCGGCCTTACCTAAAGTTCAAAGAATAAGTTTGCTAATAAAAGCAATGACCTAGCAAAATGTTTTATTCCATCATTGCTATGGAAACCAAAGTATTCAACAGTTCCTTTGAATGGGTTGTTGGATTAGTGTGAGGGCTTGAATCTCCCCAGGCTAGATGTTACTATGGAAATTGAGTTTTGATAAATGAAGTAGTTATCTCTAACTGCTGCATTAAAAAGTAAAAGCCTTTGAACAAAGGTCAGTGCTGAGATAGAGCACCAAGAGGACTATGACTGCAGACATTTTGTATGCATGCGAGGACTATTTCTTGATATCTCAACTCTAAACACTACTTATTGAAGTCTAAATAGTGTTGGTGACAGTGTGGTAGATTGTGAGGCTAGTGGGAAACTGCTTTTAAAGAACAGACATTTTGCGTATTTATCAATGAAATGAAAGGGTTGTTTTGGCCTGAAGTTTTAGATACAAATTGATTACTTAGACATATCTACATAAAGCAGGCCAAAGTAGAAATTGTATTTATAGTTAAACAACCATTAAGCATATAATAAAACAATCTAAAGATATCAAAGTACAAATGACAAGGCCAAGAAAACGTTCCATCTAGACAGTCTAAAGAATCATTTTACAGATTACATGTTATGAAGGAAGCATTGAAAATGGTTTTTACCTGGATTTAATTAAGGGGAAGTGTAAATAAGTTAGAAATATTCCAGCTATTGTTTTTTTTTCTTTGAAAGTCCTTGAAACAGGAGATAGGACTAAGCTAGGTGGCATTTTTTTTTTTTTTCCTTCATGAGGTTAAAGTCTCCTAATAAAAGAGGAGTGCAATTTCATATAACGATGTAATCAACTGGTTATTGCGGGCATATCTAAATGGCCTTGCAACTAACTCCTGTCAGGGTTTAGGGCTCTGAATGCTTTACCTGGGATTCTGGAACTTGACCTGCTGGCAAAGAAATTTAATAGTGGTTTGTCTGAACAGTGTTAGTATTAATGAAAACAAACTAAAAGAGGGCCTAGGCCTACTTTGGGTTCCATGTAGGGACTCCCTCCCGCCCCCCCCCCCATCATAAACGTGTGGCCTTCAGCTTTTAATGAGAGGAGGGAGACCATGTAATCCAGTTTAATAAAGTTTTGTTTGATAGTCTTTCAGCTGCCTTGGGGAGAGTTTGTAGCAGACTTGTTCATCTGGCCAAACCCGTTCTTGGGTAATCATAGAGCATTGAGGTTGTTTTCTCCTCATTTCTAGTTTCTAGACAATGCCTTTTAAAATTACTGTGCTCTCATTGCATCCTTTCCACCCAGCCTGTTGTTTTTAAATGAATCTGAAGCCAGCAAGTGCTTGTTTGTTGTTTTCCTTTTAAGGCCCAGGTATTTCTAAAGAACAATTTTAATTTAATAGCTTTTTTGTTTCTGTGTTCCCGGGCCTTCCCCTTGGACAATTTATTTAGGGGGACCTAATAAATAAAACAATCTATGTTGATCTTTTTAATTGGTTGCCATTTTGCAGGCAGAATATAAAATACCCTAGCATTTCTTAGGAATATAATTGTAATTGCTTTAAAATGTCAGGTTACCTTATGTTTTAAAAATGATTCAGGCAATTAAAACAACCTACATCTGAGCTATTTAATTGCTTTTTAGATTGTAAATGCTTGACTTGCAAATTGTACCTAAGGAAATAGTCTTTCCAAAACAAGACTGTTTTTAAAAAATGAGATGAAAGAGTAGAAGATACCAGCTTCTTTAACTAGAAAACTCATAGCAATTCAAGTTTTTCTAAAGTTCATATATTTCGGTTTCTTTATTTGGAATGAATTTGCAAGTACTATGAAGTTCTGCTGTATGGTTAGTCAAAATACCTGAGATAAACTTTGCTCTATCCTAGGAAATATAATTCACTTAAAAACATGTTAGGTCTTTATATATACCTACGATAACATACTTACAGGCCTACAGAGATACTCTACTCCTGTTATGACTACGTGGGTGTTTGTGTGTTATTTGTAATATGTGTGTATACATGTCATGCCTCTGGTTACAGATAATTATGGGCTGCTTCTAGGCAAGTGTCAAGAAGTAGTATATTTACAAACAAAAATATTACATTTTAATAACATCTAAATGTGAATATTTTACTGAAACTTTTATGTATCTCATGATGTATACAAAGGACTATTCTGTCAACATTTTATAAGCCACTCCCAAGCATGTTTAATAAACAGAATTAACATGCCATTGCACCCTTGTAAATCAACATGTTAAATTGATTTATGAATGAAATAGAAAAATCTACGGTCATATAACTTATTGTCTTTAATTTCATAATGAACATTCAAAGTAACTTTTAAGCACAGCTCTGTTAGAAAACAGTAAAATATAATACGAAAATATATTAGGATTTTATGTCTGACGAAAATTGGCCAGAAATTAAAAATTTATTGTCACTGGTACTGGTTTCTTTGTGTGCTTATGAGTGCCATAGTTAAATTATTGCTTTTATATTGAATGTGGGGATTTCTTGAAAATCATCTTTATACGTTAGTAAAACATATTTACTTTTTCAAAAGAAGGTTTTGAAAAAGTAAATAATGAGCTCAATACAAATGTGTGAAATTTTATGGTTTTACTTGCATGTGTGGATATACACTTGGCTCCAGAGAATAGACTAAGTGGTTGGGAAATTAGAAAACTAACATTTAGGTCATTTATCAGTCTCGGCTATCAGAACAAGGCAGAAAATTAGCAGTTGTATGAAGAAAGTATTTGAGTAGAACACATATTTGGCTCAAGTACTCCCTTAAACTCTATGCATGGCTGTTGTGTATATATTAAATGATTCCAGAATTGCTTGCCATGGTTTGATAAGGACAATTGGAAACTCCCTTGTAAGAAACAAGTGACATAGGAATACAAAATGGACTCTGTGTGTAGCCATCCTCTTTAGTGTTGCATTTGACAGTGAACTGTGTTCAGTATTTCTTGTTTAAGAAAGAATTCCACAGTAAATTCTGAAAGATTTTTTTTTTTGCCTAAGTCAAGTTGTAAAAGGGATAAAGACCCATGATTTGTCTCTTACTTGTATAGAGCAATTTAGTCCTGTATGACATTTATATTAAGATGTTACGTATACTTTAAAATATGTAATCTATGCTTGAGATGTGTTGCCGAGTGTTGATTTTGGTTTCAATTCGGGTATTAAAAATGTTAGATAAAACAATTCTGTTGAGTTCTTTGCTCTACAGTTGGAGGTTGAATATATTAGGTATAGCTTTTATTTAAAATGGCTATCGAGATTTTCATTACTGTTACTTCACCACTAAAAAAAAAATCCAACATTTTCTGAACTTGTTGATCTCATTAGTGGAAGAGGAGTGAAAGGCTTTTAAAAATAGGGATTTCACTTTGTTGCGATATGTTTAGAGCTGACATTACCTTAAATGTATATATTAAATTAGATAATTTAGTAGGTATTTTTTATTTATATGGGCTTAATGGATACCTGTGCTTTTGGATCTAGAGGTTAGTGTTGGTTGAATATATAACCTGTGTTTTCATAAGAAATAAAAGTTTGCAGGAGAAAATTATTTAGTGCCCAACAATTTTTTGCATCTGTATTTGAAAACTGTGCAGGGGAAAAAAAATCATATTTAGCATGTAGTGTATGATAATACTAGTTAAACATTCTTAAAATATTTTTATTTTCATTTGTAGTTTTGAAGGCTGTCTTTATAATTTCAAGCTTATGTAAAAAGAAAAAAAAATGACAAAAGAGTTGCTGGTTCAGACCCCGGGGAAGGCATTTATGAGAAAAATAGCCTAGAAACAATTTTTTTAATGACTCAGTGTGAAGATTAAACTTTGCTTCCCTTCTCACATTTATTTACTCTTCTGAAAAATTTTACATAGGAAATTGATTAAACATGTCTTGAGATGATAAGGCCTATCAAAGGTTAAGAAGCAAAATTTGGCAAGAGACCTTGTAAAGAATGAGAAGACCCTTCTCGTTTGTTCTTTTATACTAGGGGAGAAGGTAGTTATAAGTAGATGTAAAAAGTGTAGAATGGTAGACGTTGAGATAGAAACTTCAGTTGTGAAGGTAGAGGGCAAATTTTAAGAAAGTAATA